AAGTAATCAATTTCTAACGAACTCAATTCATGCTACTTACAGATATTAAGTACACTGGCTAATAATGTCAGCGACACCACAATTTATGCTACCTTGCCACTACTAGCCCACACGGGCAAGCATTCGTCATTTACTGGGTAATATCGATGCTTTACTCTATTCTATTGGTGGCCAAAAGTGTTTCAGGGTGCTAGTTTTAATTCGTTCTTGGCAATAAATAGTTTTAACGTTGTACTTACAAATACCAAGTAGCTTGATTTATTAGGAGCTGTGGCGTGGCTTTGAATTCCACGGCTCTAAGATTTGCACTAAAATCACAAAATCCATTTGGTTGTGCCTCGAGGAACATTACCTTAATATTATTTTGGTTTAATTTCAGCAAAAAAAAATAATTTTTTGGAAGCAATGATCTCGTAAGGCAATACTGTAAACCATCATAGCATAAACTGGATCGGTACATCGTAATTGTTTAATGAGTTCGCACAATCACGATTGTTTAAGTTGTGTGCATGGCGCCAAAAGTACGACCTGTGCACCAGTTGCGTGGTTTGTTTATTCATTACAGCCCGCGTTTTTGAATAATTTAAAAAAAAGATGCCAATCCAAGTAAAAATGACACGAGAGGTATGATTTGGCCATTTTGATAGGCTAATTTGCGTTAAATGAGTCAAAGCGTCGGCTTGGTGTGAAGGTCATTTGAACGGTTTGCCTCCCCTCCCACTGCTGAGTCATAATTTCTGTCAAAACAAACGCGTTTGTGCAAATTTTTGGCGCTGAAAACTGCTTCAGCCAACTCGGACAAAGGCCCAGGCAATTAACGCAAGCAGTGCCATCAAAGTGAGAATCAACCAATGGGCCACGTCCGCTGTCGATGCGGATTGGTGTGCATGACGATTCCGAAAATTGGAAAAGAATTAGACTATGAATTTTGCTGAAAAAAACAATGTTCTAGTCTCAACTAATTGACATTAGCGAGGACAGTTGAGCTGATTAATCATTTCGGAGGCACCATATGTGAAGGTACAGTGGTCAGCTCAACTCGATCGTAGGAACCAATCAAAGTTATCGTAGATCTGTGTAAATATGTGTGCTTGTGACGCCATCCAGGGAAAACGCTGAGGTAGGGGGACATGGAATGATTACTTGGTGTTTTGCCACCACCACCACCACCGCGTCCTGTTGGTTGAGGTCAGAAGGGGACGTCTCTAGCACCCACGCGCAAGAAACACTTGGCCCGGAGGGTGACTTGACCTGCTGCCCCCTCCCCTTCCCCCCCTCGACACCACCGTCACCCCATAAAACCAAACAAGGCCACTCTGAACGACAGCCTTGACTTTTATGGTCCGCAGGCTGGAGGCAAGAAATACTGCATTTTTATATGTTTTTAAAGTCCCCTCTGTGTTCTCAGTACTGCACATCACACAGTCGGTGAGTCAACAATGCCTTCGCAACACGTCCGACATTTTTCAGGTGAAAAAGTTATCCGCCGTGCATGCTTAAGCATCCATTGAAAGCCATTTGGCGTGATAACATCGCCTATATTTAGGCTCCGCAAGTGTTAGGTTCGTGTTGAAACGACAGTCGTTCCCATGTGGAAGTTTTTCGGCTTCAAGAGTTTTCCCCCAAGTCCAAATGGTATGGTTCGGGGTTAAAATCAAATAGACCACATTTCTTTACCCTTTAAACACAAAAAATTAAACCTTAAATGACGTGCGTCTGGTTTGTTTTTTTTTCAAATTGAATTAGGCGCCATTAGTATCAAGGGTGAGTGAACCAATACGATTGAGGCGGTCGATTTAAATGTTAAAATGGTGTGCATGGACACACAAGCATCAAACATGCCATGGCATTCGGCAACTACACGGAAAGGATGCTTTCATTCAAAAATGCGCAGTGTAAGACCAGGCTGCTAATGTACTTTTAGTGCTTACAAACATGTATCGGTTATTTTAGGTTCCGATTTAGGCAGACCCCGCATTCACCATAAATTGGACGCTGAAGAAAAATGAGTAGCATGAGCTGTGGTGTTGCATGCTTCAATTCAATGGACGAAATCTTTGTAATAAAAATAGGCACTATGACGACAAGCGGGTGTTCTGCTAGAGCACCTGCAGCTCTCAAAAATGCCGTAATTGAACCATCAGAAGGGTTTATACTCTCTGACGCCTTTCACAAAATTGCCGCCGTGGGAAAATCCCACGAGCCTTCGAAAAATTCCGAGTGCATTTTGACCATTCAAACCAGGTCTGGAATGCGAAAACCGCACAACGCGCTAATAAATCGAGGGCGGTGCACATGACAGGCCCGCTGTGCACATGGGGTTGCCAAAACGGCCACGTACCCCCATGAGTCATCCAGCAGCCCAAATTGGAGGCGGTGCGGTGCCGTCTGACTCGGTTGGCAGTCGGTGCATTCAGGGCGATGAAGGCATCGCCCAATAGGCCTAGTCGTAACCCCGTGAATCACGAAATGTTAGTGACACGGGAGGATGAACAAGGTCCACGGTTTGTGCAAAGACTGACTTCAATATGGTGTAGCGAGGAAGACGCCATACAAGGTGATATGCTAATCAGAGCATTTGCAATTGTACCGCACGCAGCACACACCTAACTCCAGTCTATAATTGTATGCAGGATAAACCAATAACGAAATTGGCTGAAGCGTATTCAACTTGGAGCAGTCCGAGTATCTGGTGGCTTCGGATTGCTGGAGGGGAAATGACTCACGCAAATCAATATCCCACTCACGCATCTGCACATTCCCAAACATGATGACTCATAAACGGGCACGACGGCCACCGGTGTTCTTGTGGTCCGTTTTGACTCGCCTGAGGCGCAGTTTCATCAAAAATCAATATTTATTTCAATTGTCAACGATAAATACTAAAGTTAGCCCCTGGATAAATATTGTGTAACCTGGACATGGAGAATTAGATCTGTGCTTGTTTCAGCAAAACTTGTGCCTGAGTCATTCAGATTAGCAGTTTTCTAGAACTGATCGCATTGATTTATTGATTTGAACAAACACATTGGGCGCTTCATTTGAATATGCCGCCTCCACAGTTTTTACAAATTGCAAATTCCTGAAGGCAAAAGTGCAAAGTAGCTGCGTAGAGACAACCATTAAACAAAACTGAAAGTGCTAAAGTTGACTATTCAGACGTTAAGTTAACTGTTGTGACTGGCGAGGTTTAATACTTACAGCAGAGCACCTGATTGACAGTAACGCATCACGCATATCTTCTGACAAACGTTTGCGGGAATTTTTTTCTTCGGCATCACCCGACACACACATCTCTAACCGTCTTTTGGGAAAACACGATAGTGTGTTTTCATGGATTTATGCTTCTGATTCTCACTAACCCCACGTTTTTTTCCAAAATGGCAATTAGAGTTCAAAGTATGAGGTTGTGTGTGGACAAGTGAGTGGTTGCCAAGTGATCTAACAAGCAAAATCCCGGGTTATGGCATTCAGAGACGCGTAAAATGTGTCCTATTCTGACCCAAGGGTTCAGAAATTTAAGTACAAACATAGGATCACCGATTTGCACAAATTAAAGTGAGTGATATTGTAAATAATCGCGCGTCACCAACTAACAGGATCGAAAAATGAACTGCAGTGAATTAAAGTCCCTGAACTCTAAACAATCACGATTCACTTTGATGCGAACCTACACTAAATCAGACGAACAGATAGTAAACATGAGGGTAGACATTAATCGGAGCCCCTCGACATGGTAAATTGCACTGAAACAGTCTCCTGACAACAAATTCGGCCATTACAGGAACCCTAATGACTGGTCTAATGCGCTAGTTCGTTTATAACCAATTTGTTGTTTAATGTGAAAGTCAGGCACAATGGTAATTTTTTTGTTTCCGCATCTGCCATTAGAGGCTTTTATTTACCGAAATTGGCACAAAATTAGGGGCGTTTGTTTTGCTCGTGAATTCAGCGAAATGATAAAATAGTTTCGGAGGCCACACCAAATAGCAGATTGTTTTGGTAGCACAAAATTTTCAGAATACAGAATCAAATCTTTTTCGCTTACAAAGGTGCAACCATAGCACCTCATTAAGTCCAAAAATCTCAATGCCAAACACACTGAATCAGGTGATTTGAAAATCTGGGAGTTGGCCAATTTTTTTTTCGAGATTTCGTAAAGTTAAATTATTGGCTTCAAGACTTAAGCAACGAATTTCACCACTGTTCAAGCTGAATCCATTAAAATGAACTCTTAAAAAATGGGCCACTCCTTTCCGATACAACCTAGGTCCGGGTTTTGATGGCGTTGCGTGATATAATTAAATGAGAGATAGCGTGGTTGCATTGTTAATACATTGAACTGGCGTGCCGTTTTCGTGAAGCGATGATGCTATTTTAACCCGCACCACGTAGACATTGTAGGTTGGGACATTGGAAAACTCACATCAGACAGGGTCAGGTATGGCTGACACCCACGAATTGATTCATTCCACCTACCAGTGAGATCCAACCATCATTATTCACCATTCGTAGAAGTCTGATTAATGTGTTTGTTTAAGGATGGCGTCTTACGATGATAAGTAGATGTTAGCTTTCGAAAGATAAACCACATCCGCTGCTTGCTGACGACTTTTTTAAATTATTTAAAAACGGCATTTCAGAAAAATTGGTTTTGATTCCATGCGGCGCATATGCACACTCCATCCCTCCACCGAAACCGCTAATTTACAAGCTCTGACTGCGCTCGCGTCATCCTCACTTGCGCATGTGCGGCGCTGCTAGAATTCTGCCCTCAGCTGATTAGCTAGCCAATCACTGTCAAACTGGCAATTTACTCGCACACGATTGGTTTTCGTGTAGCCAACCACCAGGCGGACAGTTTAAACATATACTAACTGTCCTCGTGCAAGTCATTCACTGCGCGTGCTTGTCACTCGTTGGGCGCTCTAGTTGTTTTACTCTTGTCGTCTTTCCCCTACCTGGGCATTAACGTTATTTAATCTTCTCGCCAACTAATTATGGGAGCTATTCTTTCCAGACCTCGGAACGGAGAAAATCCCCCGAAGAAAATTCGCACTCGTTCTTTCAGTGGAGGAAGTATTGGCAAGCGATCTTCACTCTTTCGATCTTTCTCAAAGCGTAAAGATGGATCAACAGCAGCAAAATCGGCAACATTACAGCCAACCAGAACTGCCACTGATACAAGAGCATCCTCTGATGTTATGACAGAACCGATCATGCCTTCGGCGCAGTCTGCTCTCAAGTCGTCGCCAGTGGCTGTGAACTCCAAGCCTGATCACGTCGATGAGCACGTGATTCAGGAATCTGCTGCATTGGCCGACGAGGCGATAGATAAGGCGACTGAATCAATTAGGAGAGAAGAGACCACAGTCGTCTCCCTTTCCTCACCTTCGCAACTTGTTGTAGTGAATCCACACAAGCATGCCGGCAAACACTCACCGCACAAAGTCCATAAACACGAGGACGTTAAGGTGGAAACCCAGCCTCTTGCTTCAGGAGAACAGGCTGTTGTTGAGGTTGCTCCTGAGGGTCCTAGTCATGAAGAGCATGAAACCCTAGCGAAGGAATTTACGGATGACGTCATTCAAGCATCAATCGAAAAGGTCCAGGAAACGTGCGCAGAACCCGAGTTCGAGAAATCTGCTGTAGAGGAAGTTAACAATGAATCGGCTGAGCCTGAGGCCAAGGGTAGCACAGGAGTCGTCCCTATTCAGCCGTTGGTCGCTGTCACCGGACCTGCAGAGGAAAAAATGGCAGTTGAGGTATCGGATGGCGATCAGGAGCATGAAGAAACGAAGCCAGAAGAAAATCTGGTGCTAGAGGCACACCCAGCTGAAGTAGAGGTCACGGAGGAAAAGTCACAGGAGCCAGAGGTCAAACCAACCACCGAGCTGGAAGTGGAGATGTCAAGTCAGCCAGAAGTTGAAGTGGATTTGAAAGATCAGGAACAGGAACTAGAACAGCCAATCGAACAGGCGATTGAAGAAGCTCCTGTCGAGGAGGAATCATCTCCTAAAGCTAGTGATGAAAAACATGAGAGTGAGGAAGTGGCCCCCTTGTGTGAGGTTGAGCAGGCTCCCGTAGAAGAAGGTGAACAACAACCGAAGGAGGAGTTGGAGCCTGTCGAGGCCCCGATGGAAGCTGAGGAGTGTGAGCAAGAAGCTGAACCTGAATTACCTGAACCGGAGGTTGATGATGAAACGAGTCATCCCGAAATGGATGTAAAGGCGCCCGAAGACGATCAATTGCCAGAAGCACCCGCCGATTCTGAACCTAAGTTACCTGATGAAGAACAACCGGGTGGGGAGGCGACTGCACACATGGTTGAAATCTTGACAACAGAGGCTGAGGATGTTAAACCCCCTTCAGATCAACCCTCAGACTACGTGGAAGTTGTTCAACCAGCTGGAGAAGAGGCACCAGCGCAAGTCGACAGCGTGGAGGAAAGCAAAGATGGAACTGTCGGAGAACAGGGCGAATCACTGGTGGAACCAAGTGAATCCAATGAGGCGTCAGACGAAGCACAGGAGGTGCAGGTAGTTGGTCTATCTGATGACGCTAAAGGCCAATCGGAACGGCCTCCTGTTGATCTCGCACAAGATGTTCCTCGCATGGAAGCCGTTCAGCACGAAGCCGACGTGAATTCGGAACTCGCAGTCAACGAGGAGGTGACAAAAAGTGAATATGGGGCCCTCCACGAGGAGATTGTTGGCGACACCGGATCTACCGCCGTGGAACAACAACCCCAAGACGATGCCAACGATGCCGCCGGGCACCAGCCAGTTCACGGTGACGCCTGCGACACCGGACCTTTAGACGGCGGCAACGTCGACCACGATGCCTCCCTGAAGGCTTCAGGCCAGCTCTCGGAAAATGGTGAAACTGCCGACACCGTGGAATAATCCCCCAGCCTCGCTAATCTACTATTCCAGCAGCCATGGGCAAGTTTCGTCGCCTTTCGTTTGGTTTACCCACTTTTTCCTTACTTTTCACGCGTAACTTCTTTCGATGCATGTATTCTTTTAAGTGCGTACTCAACCAGTCTGACATCGCTACACACACTGCCCCCCTCCCCTAACCCAACCTCCCTCCTCCCTAAGATGTTCTGCCCTCTGACCACCTTCTAATGCGAACCGCGTCGCTCCCTAATGACAGTGGTAGCAACGATTTAATTTTGTACTACCCAAAGAATTATATTGTGTAAACATTTATTTCCGCCTAAAGAAAGCCATCCCGCCTACTCGCGACGTCTGATTCTTATCTGGTGTGCCCTCCTTTGAGGTGTGGTCTGGCTTGCTCAAAAACCTTTTGTTCAACAATTTTGCCCCTAGTTGAAGTGGACGCGTTTGATTGCTCTTGTTATTTGGCGTGTTAACTTATCGATTTTCTGTTTAAACGACATGTAACAGCGACTGGGGCACGTGTCTGCTGCTTGCGCACATTGGTCGCTGGTCGTCTCGTTTAAATTCAGGAAATAAGCCCTATTTTTTCGCGGAATAATCACGTATCGTCGTAGGGGGTTGGGACGTGGTGACACCCCAGTAGACATGAGATCGTGTTTTCTGTGACAACCGAAGGCACGAATCAGCCGTGTTTGTTGGATGTGGTTTGTCTTTGCTGGCAAACCAACCCACGTCGTTTGGGACCTATTCGGAGAGTTTACTCTTGAAATATGCATGCCAGTTTTAAAAAACATTCTCTTTCTTCATTTCCTCGCCTTGCAAGTAAGAGCCAGCCATTAAATTAATAGGCAGAACACGGATTTTCAGATTAAGGAGTTGATAGCGTGGGGCGGGAAGCAAATGGCAGACTTTTTAGCTTAAAATCTTTTGTACGCCTCCGCAGAATTATTTCTAATTTTAACACCAAAAATTGTATGCCTCTGCTAGTGCAACAGCCTTGATTGCGCTTGGTATCGCTTGGGAGCCCAGGTTTTCGTGAACACGAGCCTTTATCTAGTTCCTGGAAGTTGGCAAAGGTCAGAAGGCCAGTGAGGGGGGGGGTTTCGTGGACATCCTAACTCCTAATCATCTATTTTGGACGACAGGAAGCTAGGTTACTGGTTAATTAACGTCTGATTCCTCACTTCGTGGTGATCGCTGTTCGAATTGTGTCAAAAGACGCAGCCAATACCACCCAACTTGTCCTGAATGAACAAAATATGTGGCCGCCTTTTCGATTACATTCTTGATAATCCCGATTTTGTGATTGTCTACCCGCACGCCATAGTTGTTCATCACCTTCTCTATGGCAATGTCGGATTGTCGAGCTCAAGGCTTATATCACATCGACAGGGAGTATACGGGGGCAATAATGTCGCATCGTGTTATTCCAGTTTGGTGTTACACGACCGCCATCTCAAAAAAATAACTAACGAGCAGCTTATGCGGTTTCAAAACATGCCAAAGTGTTTTCTTTTTCAAAACCAACCCAAAACAGAATACTTCTAGATCAAATGAAGCCTTTTGTGAGCGCTACAGGTAAAGCTTATTGTCACCCATTTGTATGCTTGTTAGAAAAACCACTGATACTTAGACATTGAGAGTCCTCATTACTGAACTTGTTGACTGGCATCGTTGTTGCTATCTCATGTAAACAAAGGAAGCACTTTTAGCCAAATCAATCACATACAAAGAATCGGTTGTCAGTCGCCAAACGCTTCTTCCGATGCCAGAACACCGCCCCCTCCCCTCGTCTCGTTTCTCGGGTTGTTTAACGGCTTTTGGCAGTGTGTTGATAAATATACTGTTGGGGTGTCTAAGCGGAGAGTTAAAATAAGTGACAGTTCAAGGCATCAGGGTTACCCGTGTGGCGCCAGGTGTTTACGGTTCCTGTTGACCGACATCCTGTTTTAGTCGTCCAAAGTCGAAACTTACGTCAATCCGCTAAACAACACATTCACGTGCTGTACAACAAACGCCTCTGATGGTGGGACACAAGCGATTCTTTCCATACCCTTCCATCCCTGAAAGTATAGATATCCAAACTACACAGTCGAGTGCTAGCATTGAATGCCAAGTCTTCATTAACCAATCAACGGACACGATCCGTCTCGTGTGGGGCTTGAACTCACTTCGGCTAATATGTGCCGGGATGATTGTCATCTACGGCGAATGGGACTGTGCAGAGTTTCTGTAAGCAATGCAAGTAGAAAACGGATGTGATCTGATAATCAAACTACACTAATTGGAAAAACTAAATGCACTTCCAACCCGGTCATGGACAAACTGAACAAGTGTTTATTTGACACAAACACCGCGTGATGTCCATGTTTGTCAACATGTGTTGACTCTCTCCCCAGCCCGGATACAGCTAATCAGGAATTAAACTGCTGCGACTGCACAAATCTAGGTCACATGTCAACCGATGTCGTGGAATCTGTTCTTTGACGACAGTGGTCTTGGCTGTACGCCGTAATCAGCCCGTCGCGCTTGTCGCAGCATTTGTCAGCCCCGTCAGACGTCTGACTGTTCGACTACCCTTCGAACGAGGAAATTCTCCCACTTTTTGCACTAAGCCACCTGTTCTAGATTCCTCCCTACACCTACCTTGCTGGAAACTGCGTCGTTGTTGTGGTTGGGAAAGGTATCGCCATGACGCGGCTGACGCTAGGATGTGTTCGTCAGGACTTCAAGCGATCGTTAGACAAAAGCAGAGCCCTCCCGATGTCCACAATTTTAAACATAGCAAGAACATTCACTAGGTCCCCTAATTGGATGTACTCGCTTCATAAATCAAATCAAGTGTCTTTAAATCAAAACTCCATCCATGTCACTAAGTGGAACCCACAATATTTTTGACATCTCGGTAGGCTAACGGGCACATTCCGGTGTTAATAACGCAAATCCCGACCTCGTTTACTTGGGCAGATGGTCCTGGTTTAACTTGGAAGCGTTCCAAATTAGGGCTCTTTCACCGAATCTCTGAACCTCCCCTGAACTTCGTCCTGATTGGTGCTCATCCAGCGTTGTCATTGGTCAGTTCTAACAGAATGCACAAACCGTGATTGACATGATCTTAGGGGCGGTGGTTAACCAAAATTTTTTTCTTTGGAACAAATGACTTGAGGCGTCAATTCACCCTTGTCACGCAGCATTAATTGCTGTGTTCTGGCCCACATATGGCCTCTTCAATCAGAGCCGGGATTGGCGGTGTTGGCTTGAAATCAGTTTTTTCCTAAGTCTAGTGATTTTAGCTTTAGACCTCTTCACTGCCACAAAGATGGGCTCTAGTTTCGATTATAAACGAATTGCTAGATTCCGCTTCGACTGGACGTGATGTCTGTCCCACACTCACCTCTCCACAAACTGGGTTTTCATGACGTTTCGTCAGTGTTCTGGGTAGGCGGAAATTCGAGGAAAACCAGATGGCTGGTGCCTCCCCTTCCCACAGTAAATTTAATCACTTGAAACAGTTTTAAGATGGTCTGATTGGTTGTGGACTGGGATTGCCAAAGTGCCTCCTGAGTTCTCCATCTCGACGTCTGAACATCGCTTTCTCGTCCCCCTGATTGACATACGCAGCTTTTCGCATCAAATTTCCTCTCATTGGTGAAAGGATCGTCAGTAAAATTATCGATTTGCATCCTAGTAAACTCGTTAACGTAGAATCCCT